CCAAACAGCGGGAGGACGAGCGGGAGGAGAGGAGAGGAGAGGAACGGCGGGGAAGGCCAGGGGAGGCCGAGGAGGCCGAGAAGGACAGACTCGCTGTTCAGGGATGGATCGAGCCTGAAATTATAAAGTGGCACTCCGCTCGGGCACGCGGCGATGTCACGGAATCGGCGCACCATCATCCCACTGTGCGCTGCTCTGGGTGCTCCGGCAGGACCGTCCCAGAAGACTGGAACTCGCAAGGCAAAGAGTTATATTCCGATGGGAATTAGAATAGAGCGGTTGAGTATATAAGATATCTGCCGTAAGACAGGCAAGAACCAATCCAACAGCTGCAGGAAGCCCGCACGGCCCAGCCGTGTGGCTAGCAGCGGCTCCCTGGCGAGAACGGCCTACAAAAAACCTGGCGAGAACGCCCAGCTGGCCCGAACGCCAATTCTTCGCACTGGAGTGGCCACCCCGGCGCACTCCGTGCCACGACCCTGGGAGAGGAGGAGGCGAGAAGGACGTGGAGGAGGGAAAGGATGCGGAGGGCGACTGCATGCGCTACCCGAGCGCTCTGGGCCTCCCCAGCCGCGGACAGGCCTGCCGGCGCAGACCAACAAATCGGCATCACGATTCGGAGGGAGAGTTGGTGGTCCCCAAACGTGGTGGTGAGAACACCCGGTGGTGAGTTTTGGGCGATTTGGGTAATGGTTTTTGAGCGCTGGCTGGCCCAGGAAACGCAAAACCTCGTGGCGACCGCGTGTCCCCAAACCCGGTGTCTCACCACCTGGTTTGGAGACCACCAAGAGAAGGACGAGGCGGAGAGGGGGAGGAAGAGCGGGAGAAGGAAGGGACTGGTGAAGAGAGTCGGCGGCGGCTGCGCTTCGGAAGAGTCCGGCGTCGGCTCGGACCACGGCGTACTGTGGGGCACGCACGGCAGAGCCTGAGATCTGGGCCTGGCCCGTGCACGGCGGCACACGCCGAAAGAGTGCTCTCTTTTTTTTTGGGGGGGGGGGGCATCGTTGCCCGACCAGTTCGCCAGTTCAACAGCTCACATCGCCCCACTCGCAGCCTCCCGAGCCGCTATGCGGGCTCGGATGGCCTCCAAGCAGGGCACAGGGGCGGCAGAGGCTTTCCAAGCACCCCGCCGAGCCACCTCGAGCGCTACCATGGCCTCCTGCTTGCCAGCCTGTTCTTCAGGCTCGGCGCAGGCGACCGCAACCCCACTGCGCACCCACGAGCAAGCCTCTCACGCAGCCCGCGGCAAGGGACGCCCGCCGAGGGGGGGAGAGAAGGCCGACGGCCCGGGAGGAGCGGCACGGGCGAGAGGAGAGGGGAGGGGTACAACGACAGCAAGAGGGACAACCCTTTTCGTGCGAAGCCGAAGAGCGCAGCCTCTGCCTCGGTGCACAGTGACGGCGAATCACTAAATACTTCCTGGCGCGGCCTGCCATCATCAAAACCATATCAGCTCAGGTGCCGATCGACACCAGCTGTATGAGAGAGCGCGCCCACAGCGCCGGAGCAAAGGGGGGTCCCCCCTTAGCTACCCCCCCCCTCCCTTCCGCCTCCCCTGCTGGAAGCCCCCCCGCTCCCCCCCTTTTTCGCCTCCCCCCTGAAGCTACCCCCCCCCCCCCTCCACCCCTTTTGCAGCTCCGAAGCTACCCCTCCCCCCCCCCTTTCCAAAGGGAGGAGGAGCTAGCTACCCCCCCACTCCACTCGACTCCCCTCTGCCACCCCCCCCCCCCTTTGTTCCCGCACCCCAAGCCCCTCCCCCCCCTTCCAAAGGGAAGGGGGGCTTAGCTACCCCCCCTCCCCTTGACCCCCCTCTGGGAAGCTACCCCCCCCCCTACCCCTTTGATTCCCAAAGGGGGGGGGGCTTAGCACCCCCCCCCTCCCCCCCTTTCGGCATCCGGGAAGCTACCCCCCTCCCCCCTTACGAAAGGGAAGGGGAATTTAGCTCCCCCCCTCCTTTGACCCCCTCTGCGGGAAGCCCCCCCTCCCTTCCCTCCATTTTTCTCCCCCTCCCCTCCCCCCCTTTCCAAAAAGGAAGGGGCGGCTTAGCTACCACCCCCCTCCCTGGAACTCCCCCTGCAGGACGGTCCTCCCCTGTGTCGCTCGACGTCTTCGTGCGACGCCGTCGTCGTCCTCGTCGTCGTTGTCGCCGCCGTCGCCGTTATTGTCGCCGTCTTCGTATGACCTCGTCGTGGTCGTCACGACGAGGAAAAGGTCAAGCGAAGACGGCGACGGATGACGGACGACGCGCGCGACGCCCGACGACGACGACGACGACGACGACCCAGGGTCAGAGAAAACGAGACCACGACCCAGGGGCTGGGAAGACAAGGATAGGAAGCAGGGTCCGAGAAAACGAGACCACGGCCCAGGGGCCGAGAAAAGGAGAAAACAGGAAACCGAACCAGGGTCCAAAGAAACGAAGCAGGGTCCGAGAAAGCGAGACCACGACCCAGCAGCAGAGAAAACGCGAAAACGAACCATGGCCCGAGAAAACCAAACCACGACCCAGGGGCCGACAAAACGAGACAACGAGAAAACCAACCAGTGCCCGAGAAAACGAAACCACGACCCAGGGGCCGAGAAAACGAGACAAGGAGAAAACGAACCAGAGCCCGAGAAAGCGAGAACACGACCCAAGGGCCGAGAAAACGAGAAAACGAGAAAACGAAGCAGTGCCCGAGAAAACGAAACAAAAACGCAGAAGCCGAGAAAACGAGAAAACGAGACAATGAACCAGGGTCCGAGACAACGAGATAACGACCCAGGGGCCGAGAACACGAGAATACGAGAAAACAAACCAAGGTCCGAGCAAACGAGACCACGACCCAGGCCGAGAAAACGCGAATATCGGTCCTAGAAAAAGAGACCACGACCCAGGGGCCGAGAAAACGAGAAAACGATAAAAGGAATCAGGGCCCGAGAAAACAAGACTACGAACCAGGGGCCGAGAAAACGAGGAAACGACAGAACAAACCAGCGTCCGAGAAAACGAAACCACAGCCCAGGTGCCGAGAAAACAAGAAAACGAGAAAACTAACCAGGGTTCCGAGACAACTGGACCACGACCCAGGCGCCGAGAAAACAAGAAACGAGAACACGAACCAGGGTCAGAGAAAACGAGACGACCACCCAGGGGCAGAGAAAATGAGAAAACAAGAAAACCAACCAGCGCCCGAGAAAACGAGACCACGACCCAGGGGCAGAGAAAACGAGAAAACGAGAAAACGAACCATGGCCCGAGAAAACCAAACCACGACCCAGGGGCCGAGAAAACGAGAAAACGAACCAGGGCCCGAGAAAACGAGACCACGACCCAGGAGCCGAGAAAATGAGAAAACGAGAAAACGAAACGGGGGCCGAGAAAACGAGACCACGACCAAGGGGCAGAGAAAATGCGGAAACGATAAAACACACCAGGGTCCGAGAAAAATTCACCACGGCCCAGGGGCCGAGACAACGAGAAAACGAGAAAACGAACCAGGGTCCGAGAAAACTGGACCACGACCCAGGGGCCGAGAAAACAACAAACGAACCAGGGTCAGAGAAAACGAGACCACGACCCAGGGGCCGAGAAAATGGGAAAACAAGACAACGAACCAGGGGCCGAGAAAACGATACAAAGACCCAGGGGCCGAGAAAACGAGAAAACGAACCAGGGCCCGAGAAACCGAGACCACGACCCAGGGGCCGAGACAACGAGAAAACGAGAAACCCAACCAGCACCCGAGAAAACGAGACCACGACCCGGGGGCCGAGAAAACGAGAAAACTAGAAAACGAACCAAAGTCAGAGAAAACAAAACCACAATCCAGGGGCCAAAAAACGGAGAACACGAGAAACCGAACCAGGGTCCGAGAAAACTGGACCACGACCCAGGAGCCGAAAACACGAGGAAACGAGAGAACTAATACGGGACCGAGAATAAATGAGACCACGACCCAGGGGCCGAGAAAACAAGAAAACGAGATCACGAACCAGGGCCCGAAAAAACAACACAACAAACAAAAGCCGAGAAAACGAGAAAACGAAACACCGAACCAGGGTTCGAGAAAACGAGACCACGACCCAGGGGCCGAGACATCGAGAAAACAGGAAAACACACCAAAGTCCGAGCAAACGAGACCACAACCCAAGGGCACAGAAAACGCGAAAACGAACCAGGGTCGAGACCACGACACAGGGGCCGAGGAAATGAGAAAACGCGAAAACGACCCACGACCCAGGGGCCGAGAGAACGAGAAAACGAGAAAACGAAACAGGGTCCGAGGAAACCACGACCCAAGGGCCGAGATCACCAGAAAACGCTTGGCTCCAGAAAACGAGACCACGACCCAGGAGCCGATAAAACGAGGAAACGAGAAAACGAAGCAGGGTCAGAGAAAATGAGACCACCACCCGGGGGCCGAGACAACGAGAAAACGAGAATACGAACCAGCGTCCGAGAAAACGAAACCACAGCCCAGGTGCCGAGAAAACAAGAAAACGAGAAAACTAACCAGGGTTCCGAGACAACTGGACCACGACCCAGGCGCCGAGAAAACGAGAAAACGAGAACACGGACCAGGGTCAGAGAAAACGAGACCACGACCCAGGAGCCGAAAACACGAGCAAACAAGAAAACGAACCAGGGGCCGAGAAAACGAGAAAACGATAAAATGAATCAGGGTCCGAGAAAACAAAAAACGAACCAGGGAACAAGAAAACAAGAAAACAAGAAAACGAACCAGGGGTCGACGTTATTCTCCAATGCGTTCTCTAGCGCTGCAGTGCGCACCTGTCGTCAGGGATTCCACCATTTTGCCAGAGCCCCAGAAGGGAGGGGGGAGGAGGTAGCTTCGGAAGCCCCCCCCCCTTTGCAAAGGAGGGGAGGGGGAGTAGCTTGAAGCCGCCCCCCCCCCGTGCCCAGACCTAAAAAGGAACGAGGGGGGGGTAGCTTCCGAAGCCCCCCCCTCTTTGAAAGTGAAGCCTGGGCTCACCTTCTGCTCCAGAAAAGGGAGGGAGGGGGGGGGATAGCTTCGAAGCCCCCCCCTCCTTCCGCCAGGGCCCCCCTAGCTTAGAAACCCTTACAGAAGGGCTAGGCACATGCAAAAATAGCTGAGATGATGGATTGCGCTGCAGCGTGCGGCTCCCCGCGGCGGGACAATCCCACCTGATCTGAGGGCAACGGCTGCAGACCTGAAATGAATAAGAAACATCAGATCGAACGAAATTCCCCGAAATCGTAGTTTCCGACCTGATGTGAGGAAAACGGCTGCAGACCCGAAATGCAAACGAAATAGGACCTGCCATGGTCCACTTGTACCCTCACCGCCCCAGAGGCAATCACAGAGAGATCTTGGTACCAATCTGGATGGCGTTCGAGCTGTCAGTCGCGACGTGCTCTCTGGAGACGCCTGAGCCCGAGGAGTGCGCGATCGGCGTAGAGGCGGAGCTCACGGTCTCAAAATAGTTGTTCTTGGCGATGCGCTGCATGCGACGCCGCTGCGACCTGCTGATCACCTGATGGTTTCCGGAAATGCCCGCGCCCGACCTCGGAGAGCTGCCGTCCCCATCCTTGTCCGACTGTTGCCCGGCGCCCTCCTCCGTCGCCCGACGGCCTTCCCCACTCGGGCAGTGGACATCTCCGCTGTGTGACCGATCTGACGCTGAGAACGAGGGGCGGTCAGAGGTGGGGTCCGACTTGGGGCGCTCGCCGACGGTCACGTTGTCGGTCCAGGGCGCAGGGCAATCCAAGAAGGAGTTCTTGGAAGTCACTCCGAGTGGCCATCTGGCCGTCACGGGCACCATGGACCCATGAAGGCTCATTCACCCCAGGAAGCGCGCGGCTCGAACAAGAATGGCTCGAACCAAAATTGCTTGAGCCACGTATGATGAATAAGTGTGCCGAATAAACAAGTGTCGGGGGAGAGAAAATTAGAGGGGGTATGCCCGGCCTGGGCATGCTGGTTGAGTCTAACGAAGGGTGCAGTCCACAGGGTGCAATTCACGTTGTCGGCATCCGCGCGTGAACACCTCCAACGCTCATGCACACAATCCCTCCCGCCCACCCACCCGCAGCTTCTTGGCTAAACTCAACCGGCGTATTGGTGCGACTCGGGCGGGCGAGCGATGATGATGATAATGATGGGGCGAAGAGAACGACAACGGCGCTGACTAGAGTGGCATTGATACAGACGGTGGGATGATTGCAACGCCGATTGTAAGTGTGATGAAGATGGTAGTGATGACCGTGGCAATGATGACTCTGTGTTGAGGGCGACGACAACGACATTTACGCTGGCGATGATGATGTTGATGGCGACGGGGGCGATGATGACGACGGTCGTGGTGATGGTGATGATGATGGTGATGATGGTAGCAATGACGACACTGGCGACTACGATGATCATGATGACAATGATGATGATGATGCTGATGCTGATGGTGATGGTGATGATGATGATGTTGATGATGATGATGATGATGATGATGATGATGATGATGATGATGATGATGATTATTGTGATGGTGATGGTGATGGTGATGGTGATGGTGATGATGATGGTGATGGTGGTGATGATGATGATGATGATGATGATGGTGGTGGTGGGAAATTTGTGCACGCAGGAACTTCCAGATTATGACAGCACTGTTATTGAAGGGCCACTGGGTGTCATATGTTGGTGAACACCTGCATTGAGATGATCTCAATTCACTGGGTGTTGAAGGATGTGGACGTCCGCGCGCGGAGACGCTTGCGTGTGTAGACCCGATTGCATCATTCGACAGAGTTGGCGGGTGGGCGATTCGTGCTGGATTGTTCGACATGCGCTCGCGTGTCGCATGGTGTTAGCTGACAGGGACGAGGAGGGGATAGCACGTCAGCTGGCCTGGCATCCGAGCACAAAAGAGCGCACGTCGCGGAGGAGGCGGACACGTATGGCCTCGTCAGAGGGGCAGCTTCTCATTCTGCACACGACAAGATGAATCCATAGGATGCAGCTCACAGAGGTGCAGTGCAGTGGACGCAACGTACGGTGTGCAATCCATGGTGAGCAATGACTGCTTGAAGAACTTGGAGCTGCTCGGAGCCGTCAGCTCCTATGCTCGAGCAAACATCCCACCCACCCACCTACAACTACTTGGCACAGTTCACCTGGCGCAATGACGCGAGGACCATTATTATGCAGATCAATGGCTTGGGCGAGGACCATCATCATGCAGATCCATGCCCACCAACCAGCACGCACACCGAAAAACACACGCACACAAATACGCGCACACGCACGCACGCACGCACGCACGCACGCACACACACACACACACACTTACACACACACACACACTCACACGCACGCACGCACGCACGCACGAACGCACACAAACAAACAAACAAACAAACAAACAAACAGACAAACAAACAAACAAACAAACACCACGATCGGACTGAGCCTACGATTGGCCTGTCAGGGATCGGGGTTGGTGAATTGGTGGCGTCCCCCGACAACAGACACGAGATCAAGCATGACACCGTCGCCAGCGATTGGTCTGGAATCCGTCCAAAGATTTGACTCCAAGACAGCAAGGAGGAGTTTGAGGTAAGCGGGAGAGATCGTCTGGGGAAAGAAGCCAGAGCAGCGAGAGAAGAATCTTTCGACGCGTCTGGATGTTCTTGGCCGCTTTGGGCCTCTCGAATCCTCTCGGGGACCTTTTGAAGCCCTCTGAAGACCCTGGGACACCTGCGGAGGATTCTGGGGGCAGACAGGGGAGGGCAGATGAGGATCTCTTGAAGGGTAAAGGCAAGCAGTCGGATGCCATAGAGTTGGAAGGGGCGAGAGGAGGAGGAGGAGGAGGAGCAGGAGGAGGAGGAGATCGGCATGGGAGAATCGGTGGCGCCGCGACCGCATGCCTAACCAGCCCCCTCCCCACCGCTCCTCCTCTCCTTGCCCCACCTCGTCCGCTTCCCCCACGCGTCCCCTCGACCATGGTGGCGGGCGAACGCCTGGCACCACCCGTCGCACTCGAAGGGAGAAATGAAAGGCTCACGAGTCCCCTTCTCCTCTCACTGTCTCCCCCTCACCCTCTAGGCACGGTGAAGGGATGGGTCGAAGGCCACTAGACAGAGGTGGCACGATGTTCTGTCTCTGCTCCAGCCTCGAGGTGCCCTTCAAGCCGTTCTGGGAATGTCGCCGCCCTGCCTTCGCGCGCTGCTCGGCTCCCTCGCGGCCTTTCCGGGGCCTCCTGTTCCCCCGCAGGGTCGGCGGAACCGGCCACTAGGCCTCCCCAACAAAACGACTCACGAGGTTCCTCCTCCCCCTCCCTCCTCCTCCTCCTCCTCCTCCTCCTCCTCCTCCTCCTCCTCCACCTCCTCCTCCTCCTCCTCCTCCTCCTCCCACTTCCGCCCCGTCCCCATCCACAGGGCTGAAGCAGAAACAGGGGGCGACAAAGAGAGCGGCCCAGCTAGCCTTGTCCTTTCGCACGGTCTTCAGCGCAAACGTCTCGCCAGACCTCTTGTGCACAACCTTGATCACCTCCCCACAGAAACTTGACGACGTCTCTCTTGCCACTACTGCTGATACGTCCGCCACCCTGCCCCCTTGGTACTGAGGGGCAACGACAGGGGGGGACAGGCACAGGGGAGGAAACATCGACCTGGAATCGGCGAATCATGGCCGACAGATCCGCGATAGGCCCCCGACAGCAAGTCCGCGCGCTCCTGGGCAGCTTGAGGCCATCGCGCCCCTGTCGGCGATCCGTGGGCGATGGTGGGTCGAGGCACCTGCCCCCTGCGCCCATCCCCGGGTGGCACCCGGGCCCGCACTCGGGCTTCTTCGGCGGCCTCTCGGGGAGACTCCGGCCCCCCCGGAAGGCCCTCGACGAGACGCAGCTGGTGGAAACCACCCCGGGCATCGGAGGCGTCCGAGGAGCTCCGAGAGCCTACCGCCGAGGACCTCCGAGGGCCTGCCGTCCCCCCTGCCGCTGCCCTGCGGGCACGTCGAGGCGCGGTGGAGTGCCGAGTGCTGACTGGCGGTGGCGACGACGACGACGACGTCGACGACGACGATGAGAGTGTTGATGACGATGATGATGATGATGATGATGATGATGATGATGATGATGATGATGATGATGATGATGATGATGATGATGATGATGATGATGATGATGATGATGATGATGATGATGATGATGATGATGATGATGATGATGATGATGATGATGATGATGATGATGATGATGATGATGATGATGATGATGATGATGATGATGATGATGATGATGATGATGATGATGACGATGATGATGATGATGATGACGATGATGATGATGATGGTGATGATGACGATGGTGCTGATGATGACGACGACGACGATGATGACGACGACGATGATGACGGTGTCAAGTGCTGACTGGCGGTGATGATGATGACGACGATGATGATGGTGTTGATGACGACGATGATGATGATGATGATGATGGTGAGGATGATGATGGTGATGATGGTGAGGATGGTGATGATGATAAGGATGATGATGGTGGTGATGATGGTGATGGTGATAGTGATGATGATGATGCTGATGATGCTGATGATGCTGATGATGATGATGACGATGATGATGATGACGATGATGATGATGATGATGATGATGGTGGTGATGATGGTGATGATGATGCTGATGGTGTTGATCGTGATGATGATGGTGATGATGATGATGATGATGATGTTGCTGCAACCTCGTGCCGCACCGGGGTCCGTGCGCCGCCCGCCTCTCCCCGGGCAGCAAGTGCGGCCCCACGCCTCTCCATAGGGCCCTTCTGAGCTCTCCAAGGCTGCCGACCCGCCCGTGGGGTCCTCGTCACCGCTGTCGCCGTCGTCGACTGCCTCGTCGTCCTCGTCGTCGTCGTCGTCGTCGTCGTCGCCGTCGTCGTCGCCTTCCTCGTCATCGTCGTCGTCGTCGTCGTCGCCGTCGTCGTCGCCTTACTCGACGTCGTCGACGTCGCCGCCGCCGCACGCCGCCACCGTCGTCGTCGTCGTCGTCGTCGTCGTCGGCGTCGTCGTCGTCAAGATGGCCCAGGAAGGCCGCCAAGAGGGCCGAACAGTCAAGAGTCCCCAAGAAGCGCTCCTCAGCTCCCAGGAGGCCTCCCAGTGGCCCCAAGGCACCCCCAAGACGCTCTCCGGGAGACCCCCGAGAGGCCAAAAGCACTGGCTCGCGGTTTGCATTTCAATAGTTTTCGCTTTCCACGCTCTGCGGTCCAAGGTCCTTTCGCTTGCGGTCTTCCAGGGCCCCAAGGGGCCCCACTTGAAGCCCCAACAGGGCCGCTAGTCGGCCCAGGACAGCACCAAAAGGGCCCCCAAGCTGGTCCAAGAAGGCCTCCGGAAGGAACCCATGATGGCCTAAGAGGGCCCCTAGAACAGCCCTAGAAGGCCTCAAGACCCCTGTAGGGGGACAGGCCCGACTTAGGCCTCACACCTTACCAGCCTGGAACATATCCCTATCCCTATGCTGGGCACCTCCTCATCACGATGCCAATCTTGGGGATTCCCTTGTTTTTTGAGGGCGGATCCCTAAGATTGTCATCGCCTTTTGGCGTGTCAATCTTAGGGATAGGGGTACGTTCGAGGCTGGTAAACACCGAGATCCTGGCCTCCAGGAAACACCCCTGCACGCCCAGACGACACCCACGCGCATCGGGAGCGCCTGTGCTGCGCCGCTCTGGTCCTCCGGAGGCCGGCTGCTCCGAGGACCTCGGCACCCTCGGCGACGACGGAGGACGAGAGGAACTGCCGTTTTTATATATATATATATATAGATATCTCTCTCTCTCTCTCTTTCTTTTTTTTTTGGGGGGGGGGTCATGCTCCGAAAAAGTGGAGCCTCCGGATGTCCCGGCATCCTCTTCCCTTTTACGCGTGCGCATCATCGTCGCTATGCTCCTCATTGGTGTCCCATTCCTCTTCCTTCCCTCTGTCTACTCCGTGCCCCCCCTCTTCCCCGTCGTCGCCCCTCCTCCTCCTCCACCCCCCCTCTCTCCGCCCAGCTCCGCCCCCGTCCTCCTCATGTTCGTTCCACTGCACCGCATGCCAACTCCCAGCACCAATGTACCTGAACACGCTCGCCTCGTGTGCCGCCAGGGCGGCTCGGCCAAAACACTCTGAGGCAAGCATGCGGCTCACCCCCCCAAAGTCACCTTGCCAAATGCGCCACTGCCGAGGGGCCTTCGCGGCAGCACATAAGGCCCTCCTCCCCCTACTCATCCTCCAAGTATTCCTCCCCCCCTCCCTCCCCTTCCAGTCCACTCACTCCACCTTCAAATCCTCCATGAATATGTCGTGCAACACGATGCTGAGATCGATGCTCGTATTCATAAGACTGCAACAGGCGTGTGCCATAAGACCTGCTGCCCTAAAACTACGTATTCACATGTGTACGTGTATACACACACACACATATCCGCCACCGAGCCGCTGGGCACAGAGTGGGCGTGTCCTCGGGTCCTGCGCCTGATCCCTTAAGCCTCAGTCCTCGATCCTGAGATTAGTCTGAAGTCGGGCGTATCCCCCTACAGGCGGATTTTGGGCGAAAAATTACCTATACCCCCAAAATACACAAAAAGTACCCAAAAATGATTGAGAAAGATCGTCCACAGACTATTTTTACTACTATTTTGGAACATTCCCCCTGTAGAGGGACCGGCCCGACTTCAAGAGTAGCTTGGGGACCCGGACTTCAAATCCTCTGATCTTCCAGGGCTCGGCGCGTGCCCGGGGGGGCTCTTCCCGCACGACGTCTTGTTCGGGACCCAGAGGGGCTCCTGGTCTGTCCAAGAGGGGCTCAGGAGGGGCTCCCAGTCTGTCCAAGAGGGGCTCTCGGGGCTCGAGGGCTCCCAGTCTGCCCCAAAGTGCGGATCTCAATCGAGTGTGCTCGGGCGAGGCGGGACCACGGGCGGGGCGGGTCGGGCGGGCGGGGCAGGAAGGTGCGGGCCTCTGTCAAGCGCGGTCGGGCGAGGCGGGCCAACGGGCGGGCGGGGCACTGAAGCATAGGGCTCTGCTGAGCCTGGCCGAGTGAGGCGGGGCACGCGGGCAGGGCGGGGGAGCCCGGCGGGATGCACAAAAGGTGGAGCTCTTTTACCGCGCTCGGTCGAACCAAGCGGGCCAGGCGGGCGAGCTGGCCGGGCGGAGGGGTCATTGGAGTGGAAGGCCCTGGTTGAATCTGGTCGAGGGAGCCGGGGCGAAGGGCACGGCGGGACAGGCGGGCGAGCACTCTGAAATGCTGATGCCCCGTCGCGTCGGGTCGGGTGGGCCGGGTCGGGCGGGCGAGCGGGTCGGGCAGGGGCGGAGCGGACGGGCGGGCCGGGTCCGGCGGGCCAGGCCTCAGAGTGTGGGGCTCTGCCGAGTCTGGCCGAGGGGCGCGTCCGGCGGGCGGCGCGGGGCGGCCAGCAGGTCGGGCAGGGCGGGCGGGACATGTGAGTGTTGGGCTTTACTGGATATGGCCGAGTGGAGCGGGGCGAGCGGGCGGGGCGGGGCGGGCGAGCGGGACCTTCAGGTGCAGGGCTCTTCGAGTCTGGCTGTGCAGGGCAGAGCGAACTGGGGGTGTGGAGGGGGGGTCGGGCGGGCGGGACGTAGAAATGCAGAGTAGTATCGAATCGTGCGGAGGGGTCAAGCGGGTCAGGCGATCAAAGTATTAAAGTGTGGGGCGGCATCGCGTCTGGTCGGGCGGGCCCGACCAGGCGAGCGAGACAGTAAAGTAGGGCGCCCTGCGAAGTTCGCGAGCTCTTTGAGGACGTGGATCTCCTAAAGGTTTTGGACGCCTCCCGGGCCCCAGAGGCACTGCAGGCTCCACTGAGCGTCGTCTAACCGACCCCCATCCCCAGAGGCGTGGCATGGACCACACTCGCCGATTTACCCCCCTAGATGGGGATATAGGCAGTTCCGTTCGGGGTTCGAAGGGTATATAGATCCCCGACTGGAGTGGTGAGATGGTGGGGGTCTGGATGGGGATGGGGATGGGGATAGGGGTCGGTTAAACGATACTGATCCACTGGCCCCAGAGGCTGCACAAGCCCCATAAATCGCTCCGACCTCACAAGCCTCACAGGCCTCAGACATCCCACAATCCCCACGAGGCCTCACGATCCCCGCCGGCCCCAGAGGCCCCACAGGCCCCACAGGACCAAGATTCCAGAGGGCTCACGAAAATTGCCAGATTGAGAAACCTCAGGGGGTCTTCGATATTTCAACCTGGATGTCCCAAATTAAATTAATGACGAGTTCCAGTTTCACTCTCTCCATGTGAAAGTCCCAGATGACATTTTTCCCCACACAATGCTCGTACTCAGGAGTTCTCACTTCTGTTATAAGGAACTGGGCTGGTGTGGCAGTCTGGTAGCTGTGTCGTCGCCGTCGCAGCCCCGTCGCCGTCGTGTCGCCGCCCGTCTTCAGGGCCGGTGTGGCGGCCTGGCGGCTAAATTGTCGCCGTCGCCGCCCCGTCGCCGCCTCGTCGCCACATCTCGCTGTCGTTGGATTTTCTTTTTTTGGAAATGATTTGGATTATACCCCCATCCCCCCCCTGGACTTATCCGCTGCTGGTTTCGCTTGTGAACTCGTCTATGATCCTGACCCCTCGTACGTACGACATATGAACTCATACCATCCTAGCCAGGCAGATATCGATCCCCCCCTCCATCCGCTGCAAAGAATGTCATGCGCGCAGTCTGGCTCATCAAGAATCATCAATGTACATAAACCATTTGCCCCCCCCCCCCAAAAAAAATACAAAAAAAATGACGAGTGCACACGCGCGCGTCGCCGCGCGCGCATGTCGAAATCCGTATAAAATCTTCGGTGTCGTCAAGGATTTATAAATCGAATGTCACCATGTTTAAAGGACATATGTGGCAACGAAATGTCTAAAAAAAATGCGCCCGCCTTCCTGCGAATGCTTAAAAGACCGATGGGTGGTTCTACAATTTTCGTTCGAACGCCCTTGCGCGCGTGCTGCCGCAAAAACCCACTGCAATATACGAACGAAATGCACACGCGCGCGTCGCCGCGCGCGCATGCCGAAATCCTCGAAAAAAACGTCGGCCCCATAACGCTGTCAATATCGAACGCCCCGTAAACATATTAAAAAACATGGTTGTACAACATCCGTGTTCAAGAAATCCTGCGTTCGCGCTGTTGCGGGTTCGTAACAAAGCCATATGTGCTCCAACATGCTCATCAAATTCAAATGTTGCCAAATGTGCCTCTCGCGCCGCATGTCGAACTCATTTCGACGCCATTGCGCGTTTTTTGGGGGAGGCGAGGATCCGTGTCAAATAATACCACGCAGGCCACTCGCTCGCGTCGGCCGCGCGCGCTGTCGAACTCGTTCCAAAACCTTCATCGCCGACGCGAAGACATCGTCATCGTTATCGGCGGGCGTGATCAACATCGGCGCCGTCATTGGCCTTGCCGTCGTCATCGCCACCATCGTCACCACCATCGCTACTTGCATAACCGTTTCTACCGTTGTCGGCGTCGCCATGATACCGCACCAGCACAAGTCACCGATTCGCACGTGCCCGCTGGGAAGTGCCGAGCGGTCAGCGCCACCGCGGACGCGTCGGTCACGGCAAACTAGCTGGCCACTGTGCGCGCGAGCATGCGCGGGCTAGCGCGGCCGCACATGCACCTTCCAACGCCAAGCACTCATCACAATCGCCGCCGCATGGGTCTTGCAAATCAGGTTGCGGGAGGTGGGTGGGATGTTTGCAAGAGCATGGAATTTGCCAATTCGTTTGCGCATATCAATTCTCCTTCGGCAAAGAGAATAAATAGATCCGACTGCCATCTCGAAACCGGCATTATCACTACCGCCTGGGGATGTGCAATGTACAAATGTTTCTGCCCCATCGTCAATCCGAACTATGAATTTATTTATTCCCACGGAGGGGCGGTATCCACCCCCCCGCCATCCTCTGCAAAAAATGTTATGCACACACCCTTGTATCAAAATTACCCATTTTCAAAAATTCCTTGTAAAGAAGAAGACGAAGAACAAACAACAAAAAAAAACACGCGCGCGTCGTCGCACGCGCAAACCGAAATTCTTCCACAACAGCTCCGGTTTTGTAGGAACTGTAAGATCGAGTCAAAAAAACATATTAAAGCACAGGGCTTCGCGAGTCAACAACTTCAGTTCGGCAAAAACAAATTGCACCACATAGATTGCGCCAAATCGATCGCACCGCATCAAAGTGCACAACACAGATTGCACACCAGATGCTGCAACACATATACTGGTCCACCTAGATTATACAAGCTAGATTCCACAATATGTATCGAACCACATTGATTACATCATATATTCCTTTCCCAAAAGAATATTAAGATCTATCTCGCCCCCCATGGACTGGTCCCATATTCCGTTTTGCAAGTTACGTATGCTTCTCCCCCATCGTCCAGCCCAAGTATGAATCCATATACTCCCAGGCAAGCCGGTATCGACCCCCACCCCCCTCGCCATACTCTGCAAAGAGTTATGGGCACACACTCTCGTGTATCAAAAATCATCAATTTTCATTAATCCCTTGCAAAACGTGGGACGACGTGCACACGAGCGCGTCGTCGCGCGCGCATGCCTAAATTCATCCGAAAACGCTCGGTTTCGCAAGCATTTCAAAAGCGAGCGTCACGAAACATATAAAAAACGATTGGTTTTTCAACGAGAAGAGTCGAACGACAAAAAAACGCCCGCGTCATTGTTGTCCATATATATATATGTGTGTGTACGCATATATACATACATACATACATACGTACGTACATACATACATGCACATAGACATACCCATATACATACACATATGTGTCTTTATAAATGTATATATGCACATATATATATATATATATATATAATGATTCGGAAGTGGCCTCTCGCGCACGCGTCGAAATCGTTCGAACACACTTGCGCGCGTGTTGTCGCAAGAACCTTTTGCTGAAACAGAGGAAGAAACAAAGGAACGGAGGAAAAAAAAAATGCACACCCGCGCGCCGTCGCGAGTATGCCGACATCCTTGAAAAACCTTCGGCGTCATAAGGATTTCAAAATCTAGTGCCCCGATTGAAAGCATACGGTTTTGCAACATCAATGTTCAAGAAATCCTGCGCCCACGCTATTGCGGGTTCTTGAGAAAACCATCGGTTTTCCAACATGTTCATCAAAATCTGCCAAG